ACTACTACTACTACTACTACTACTACTACTACTACTACTACTACTACTACTACTACTACTACTACTACTACTACTACTACTACTACTAACTACTACTATTACTACTACTACTACTACTACTACTACTACTACTACTACTACTACTACTACTACTGCTACTACTACTACTGCTACTTCTACTACGCCCGTTTTCAACGTGCCAAAGAGGCACTTGTGAAACACTGCGGAGGCGCCCTTGAAACGCTGCAGAGGTGCTTGTGAAGCGCTTCAGAGGCGCTGGCGAAGCGCTCCGGTGGCGGAGGTGAAGCGCTTCAGAGGCTCTGCAGAGGTTGTAAGGCGGTTGTAATCTGGTGTTCGTCTTGTTTGTAGAATGAATGATTCACGTTGGGATCGGCCCTTGCTCGGTGTTTGGAATCCGCCCCAAGTGGTTGGGATCGGCCCGAAGTGGTTTGGATCGGCCTTATTTTTCTGCCTCTCTCACCTGCGGCGCCAGTGCAGTTTTCGGTTGGCTGTCCGTCGCCCCCTGCTGACGGCAACTGGTTCCCGGGCAGCTTCTGTCACGCGCTGTTGCGGTCTCGCACGATTTGTGGCCGTGGATTCTCCTCCCCAGAATACACACGACAACATTACCCTCGTGTCCCCCCCCCCTTCCCAACGGACAAGAGACCTCACGGTGCGCGCGCACTCCCACCTCGGCCCCCATGCTTCGCACGTCTTGCATCGCCTGCCGGGCGAGATTTCCGGCTAGAGCCAGCGATAGACTCGGTCCCTCCCCTTCCCGAGGGAGGAGAGGAGAAGGAAGAGAAATCTGCATATGATGATGACGAGGAGCCAAGGGGAAGAAGAAAAAGAAGAGGGAAGAAGAAGAAGAAGGAGGGTCATGGGGAGGACGAGGAGGAGGGAGATGAGGACGCAAGATGAGGAGGATATTGGGTGAGCCAGCTCTCTGGGGCTCGTCCGTCGACGCGCTCCGTGAGCCAAGATGAAGAGGCCCACCCTGTCTGCAGGCACCCTGTTTTTGGAAGCATCCCGTTCCTCGTCTGCCACCTCCTCCAATTCAGCAGCAACACGATATCCTTCCCTCCTCATCCCCCCCTCTCCGCTCCTGCTATCCCTCAACAGCATCAGCAGCATACTCCCTCTTCCTCCTCCCCATCTGCTCATCTTTATCCACCCTTGTTGCTTGTGGTTCTGCTGCTCTTGTCCCTCATCTGTTGCTCCCTTTCATCGTAATCCCCGTGTTCTTCCTCATGTTCCATTGGTCTTCCTTCACTCCAGGCGAAGGGAGAGCCTTCGCAGGGGCGGTGGTGAAACCCAGGAAATCTTTGGATTTGGCAATTTTTCGGGCGGCTCAATGTCCGATGAGCGCTGCGATGGCGCAGCATGCGCCGCGCCGACATAGCAGCAATCGCGCGGCGCCCGGGCGACGGCAGCAGTTCGCCTGCTCTCGCGCGGAACCGCTGCCAGCGCCGTTTTTTTTCATTGATCCGGCGAGCGAAACATGGGAGGAGGAGGAGGAGGAGGAGGAGGAGAAGGAGGAGGAGGGGGAGGACGAGCAGGAGGAGGAGGGGGAGGAGGAGGAGAGGGGGAGGGGAGGGGGGAGAAGGAGGAGGAGGAGAGAAAAGGAGGAGGAGGAGGAAGAGAGGGAGGGAGGAGGAGGAGGGAGGAGGAGGAGAGGAGGAGGAGGAGGAGGAGTGAGGAGGAGAGGAGAGGAAGGAGGAGGCGCGGAGGGAGGGTAGGGGGAGAGGGAGGAGAGGAGAGGAGGAGGAGGAGGAGGAGGATCGCCGCGCCCACGCGTTGAGAGCACCCCCGACAGGAGTGTGCACGGAGCCTCGGCGGCACGTCGCCCGCTCGCGCGGGGCCCCCACGCCTGAGCGCGTGAGGCACGTGCGCCGCGCGCCGGGGCGGGAGCACCCCTCTGAAGGCGACGTCAGCGCAGCTCCGAGGCGAGAGCGAGGATGTTCCTCCTTCTCCTCCTCCCTCCTCCTCCCTCCTCCTCCTCCTCCTCTCCTCCCCGCCTCCGCCTCCTCCTCCTCCTCCTCCTCCTCCTCCTCCTCCTCCTCCTCCTCCTCCTCCTCCTCCTCCTCCTCTCGGGGCGGCATGTTCGTCCGCCCGCGCATCGACAAACTCGGCGCGCGAAACATGTGTGCCCGCGCCCAAGCGGGAGTTCAGCTACCACGAACAATGAGCACGGCGCCGAGGCGAGAGCGACACGTCGCCCTTACCCACGGGATGCGCGCCGCCGCGTCCCAATCTTGCGACGCACCTGTGCAACGTCGACGCGCAAAATTCATGCTAATAATAAATCTTTGGACAACTTTTGAGCCAATGGCAGCTATTGAGGACGATGGGAGGCGAGAGGAGGCACAAGTGAAAAGGGCGAAGGAGGCAGAAAAGGGCGAGGGAGGCAGAAAAGGGCGAAGGAGGCAGGAGGGAGACAGCTATTGAGGACGATGGGAGGCGAAAGGAGGCACAAGTGAATCAGGAGCTCAGACGGAGGAGGGTGGAGGGATGGAGAGGGAGAAGGGCGAGGACGCCGCGGGAGAAGGAAGCAGCGAGGAGGAAGAGATGGAAGAGGAAGCGGAGGAGGAAGAGCTGGAAGATGGTTGGGCAACGGAGTGTCGCTTGGCTCGGCTACGGTTGCGATGCGTTGGCGAACAGAAAGCACGCACCGCGCGCAAGCGGGACCTAACTTTCAACAATGGTGTGAGGGATTTCCTGTCCCCTCCTCCGCCTCCGAAGCAGCGAGGAGGAAGACATGGAAGAGGAAGCGGAGGAGGAAGAGCGGAGCGCAGGGTCGGACGGCGCATCATGGAGTGGATTGGAGACGGCCTGATGGTCTTGAAGCGCTGCGCGGTCGCCATAGTCGACCGGTGGGAGGACCTCGCCCAGCGGCTTCTGCGCCCTCTCCCCCCCCGTCCCTTCCCATGAACTCCGCGCTCCTGCTCGACTGTGAGCCGCAGGTCCCAGAGGCGAGCAGGAGGAGTGAGCGAGGCGGAGGAGGAGGAAGATCGAGGAGGCAGGGGGCAGGAGGCAGGTTACCAGCCAATTGCATCAAGCGTGCGTCAGGAGGCAGGGAAGAGGAGGAGGAGGAGGAGGAGGAGGACGGGGCTGACAAGGCCGGAGGAGGAGGAGGAGAAGGAGACGGAGGAAGGAGAAGCAGAAGACGGGTGCAATAGGGTAATGGGCAATGGGGGCCTCTTAGTAAAGTCAGCGATGTTGGCCTTCTCGCCTAGGCCCCTTGGAGCGTCTTGGGTGGCTCTGAGGGGCCTCTGTGGGCTTCTTGAGTGTCTCTTGGGATCCTCTTGGGGGCTGGGGGTCTCTTGGGGGCCTCTTGGAGGCCTCCTGGGCACCTCGTGGGGCCGTCTTGGGCACCCTTGGGAGCCTCGGGGGCCGTCTTTGGGCCATCTTGGAGGAGATCGATCAAAGGAGGGGAGCTCCTCAATTAGCGTTGCCCACCCCCCCTCCGCCGAGGAGGCCAAAATGTGGCCAAAATCTTGATTCAATCAATGGTTTGGGCTTCCTCGACGAGGCTATCTTGTACGCTCCAACGACCCGCGATCCCTCCCCTCCAGACCCAGGGGGAGGGGGAGGGGCCGAGGCCCCCCCCCCCTTCGCCATCAAGCCGTCTCGCTCTCTCCCACCCGCCATCTCAACGCATGAGTAACACCCGAGGGAGTCCCAGCATGCAGGCCTCGGAACAAATTAGCGGACACATGCCACATTCATCCCTCAACGCCTCCCCCTCCCCCCAATGTTCAAAGTTGGCGGTGGGTCTGATGAGATGCACTTCGACCGCAGTCTCCCCCGCGCGTGCCAACATTGAGTTTGGGGGGAGGGGGAGTGTTCAGTAATTGCTTCCCTCTACCGTATTGCTTGAGAGCGCCACGCATGCCAGGTGCGACCAGGGCCCCCGGGTGCACCAGGCACCCTGGAGGCCCAAGCGAGCCAGGCGCGCCAGGGGTGCGCCACGCGCTCCGCGTCGAAGCACGTGAGCGCGGCCCCCCCCCGCCGCCCCCGTCAGGAACGAAGGTGCTGCGGACGTGGAGGCAAAGTGCAGCCGGCCTTTCTTTGGGCCTTGGCATCGCTCGGACGTGTGCGTTTTTTCCTCGGCGAGGACCATCGAGGAGCATCCTTGATCATTTGGCGAAAAGACAACGCACGAAACCGAAAAAGGCACAGGGAATGGACGTCCGAGCGATGGCGAGTGGGCAGGGATGGCTGGCTTGCGCGCAGCGAGCAGTATGACGGACCCCCGCCGCCCCGGCCAAAGCCAAGGTATATTGGTCGCGGGGAGAGCCAGCGCGCGCTCCGGGTGCGGAGGCACCGTGCACCCTGCATCGTTGGTTGACAAGGATGGCTCGCCTGCGCGCAGCGAGCAACATGACGCCCCCCCCCCCGCCGCCCCTGTCGAACACCAAAAAACAAAGGGGTCGCGGGGAAAACATCGCGGGGCGCCCGCGCATGCTCCAGATGTAGAGGCAGAGTGCATTCTGTACTGTTTTGTTGATCGAGATGGCTGGCCTGCGCGCGGCGAGCAGCATGGCAGCACCCCCGCCGTCCTGCTCAGACAACAGTGCAAACCGGTCGCGGGGCGCCCCCGCGTGCTCCAGAGTTGAGGCAAAGTGCAGTCTGTATGGTTTTTTTTCAGACAGGGCTGGTGGAGCGGGGGTTGCCATGTCTCGGGCTGGCCCAAAGTCGGGTGGGGGCGGGGATGTACACTGATAGGGAGCAGTGATAAACCCCTCCCCGAAGGGGATGAGGGCACTGGGAGAGGAAATTCGCCAAACCACTCACGCCCAGAGGGCTGGTGGGATTGGGACCGCGCCGGGATTAATCAATCAGCATTCATTCGTGGTCCGTTTTGTCCAGATCGGAGACATCCGAAAGCGGCTGGTTGGACGGTTGCAGCTGGTACAGCGCGTCATGTCGATAATGTTTCCAGTATGACGCTGTCCCCCAGCCAAGCCAGATCACACATGCGAGGGTTGTTGCTCGTGGCAGCTTAACCTATGTATGATCCAGTGCCGAGGGTCCCCCCTGCTTATGGTTGCGGGCCCTCCGCTGCTGCTCCTCCTCCTCCTTCTCCTCCCTCCTCCTCCTTCTCCTCCCTCCTCCTCCTCGTTCTTCTTCTCCTCCTCCTCCTCCTCCTCCTCCTCCTCCTCCTCCTCCTGCTTC